ATAGGCATTCTCTCTGCTTCCCTGGCTGGCCTGGCCAGTATGAGCCCACCTATTCCACCACACCCATGCCACCTGGAGTGACCTCACTGGAGCAAAGTGGAAATCACACATGTTAGGAGCCTGGCACCTACGAGAAGGGCACTTTCAAGCCTTCCCATGTGGCCAACTTGACCTACTCTTCCTCCAGCACCTCCACCAAGGTCCCATGTACACTAGGCTTTGTGGCCTGAAAAGCGAAACTCTGGGCTTACTTCCACTGCTACTCTTTCTATCTGACATTTGCTGTCTTCATCCCTTACAGCTGAGAGCTTGTTTGGAGGTTTTAGCGGGACAGAGAAGCTCTTCATGCACCCTCGCCCGAGGAAATGGTCCTCCTCTGTCAGCATGGTCCTCTTCTTCCACCAGGTGAGCAGCTTCGGGAGAGATGCATGTGGAGCACTGAGGGAGGACGGGGACATCAGCCTGGCCAGCAGACCAGCCAACCCCCCTGCTGCAACCAGTGGGGTGACCGATGTCTCAGCCAGATCTCCCTCACACCCTCACCCCTCATTCCTATGTGTTAATATTTTGCTGTTTTTTAAAACTAAATATTGCTCTAAAGAGTTTACACTGATCACAGGCTTTTTGCACAAGCAAGCTCGTGTGTGTGTGTGTGTGTGTGTGTGTGTGTGTGTGTGTGTGTGTGTTTTCCAGCTCAACAAAGTTTGTTGTAATTTTATTGTTTTCTAGTCGCAGCCTCCTCGGGCATGTGTGGCATCCTGAAGAGAGAGTAGGCCGCTTCCCCAGGCCCGTGAACACATAAAGAAGACAAGAGTGGAGGAGGAAGGGGTGCAGAACAGAGCCCTCATGACCCATGGGTGCAGTGCCTCCCAGGACTGGCCCTGCCCCTCCCTTCCACATGAGATCTGCACCCTGATCAGATAGAGCAAAGAAAACATCCCTCAAATAAATACTTAAATGGACAGTGTGAACCTTCCCTGAGCTAAGCAAAGACTTGAGTCTCCTCACTAAAAAGTTCACTGAGTTTGATGCTGGGGAAGAACTATGCAGCCAGAGGTACCCTGGTAAAATTATGCAAGTAATCTTGCAAAGCAGGCAGGAATTGTAATGGGGAAAAATGACAAAGGAAGGAAATCAGGGAGGTATCAGACTTCTCCTCGGCTAAACTACTTGTATTAACTGGGCCAGGATAGAAAGCATTTGTATTTTTCTAAGAGAGAACAATCATGGTCTGAGAATTGTGTCCTGGCCAGTTCAACTGTGACTGCAGTAAAAGGAAATGCTTGGTGATATGATAAACAATGGAAAAAATAACCCAAAATTACAAAACCCAGTTCAGGTAAGGGGACCAAGGGGCTAGAGGAAGTGGGCAAGTAATGGATCTAAGTAATGTTTTCAGTTTAAACTCAGTGCATGAAATTTTAAAGCAACTTATTAAAATATTATGCACTGAAAAGGGGCAAAGCTTAAAATAAGAGAAAGAGCCTGGGAATGTGAGGTGCTCATGTAAGCACAGGGCAGAACCTGTCATAAGGTCCCAGGAGATGGAGAGGCCTGAAGTCAGACCTTCATCACGCTTGTGGCCACAGCAAGAGCCAAGCGTGGCCCGCTTGCAAGCTCCACGGCACCCATGAGAGGGCACCCAACCCCCATTCCCTGATGGAGATGCTGGCAGAGCAGGAACTTCAGTCCCTGAGGCCAGAGGGTGGAGAGGATGAGTGTGGCTCCAACAGGGTGCACAGGGACACGTCCAGTGACAGGAAAGTTCCGTGACTTGATTGTGGTGCTGATTACCCAGTCTACTCATGTGATAAGCCCGCATACACCTATGTACACACACCAACATGTGCAAGAGACAGCTAGTGGAACCCCAGTAGTCTGTGGCTTGGATCAGTGTCAATTCCCTGCTCTGGGTCTTGTCCAATATTATAGTTATGGGTGGCATTACTACTAGGGGCGACTGGGTGAGGGACACAGAAACCCCTTCTGCACTGTTTTTCCAACTTTCTGAGGAACTATAATCATTTCCAAATAAAAGGGGGAAATGCCCATGTTGACAGTTTGGGTTTTGTGGTGAAAAACACCCTTGGGACCACCATGTGACACCCACAGCCCCAAGCCTCACCTGTGTGTTCCTGATAATGTCCTGAAAGCAAGAGGCAGCCACTTTGCTAAGATGCAATCCCCTGGCCCTAAATGAAGGGACCCCAGAGAGAAATCTGACAGTGTGGCTGGTACTGGGGCCTCAGTTAACTATGTGAAAGCATTGCTTTGCTACTTGTACCTACATCTCAATTATTTTTTATCATCTTTACCCTCAAAGAGCTCAAATAGGTCTGATGAATTTAGCAGAATCCCAACACCAACCATGGAGTGGAACAGCGGAGCTCAGCTTCAAGGGAGCCTCTTGAAACCCTGCCCACCTTTCCATGAGAGCTCCTGAAAGAGCTTCACTAGCCAGCCCAGGAGGAAGGGGGATCTTCCCAAGCATCTGCGTGGCAGTGTTCCAAGCTGAGGAACATGCTTCCTTCGTCTCCAGCCCAGGCTCGCTCATCGGCCTTTGGAGCTCGGACTGCTGAGTGCAACCCAAGTGCTCAGTAGGCCTGGGCCAGGCCCAAAACTCCACACCCATCCCAGTTCCTAGGGCCGTGCAGGACGCTGGCTCCAGGATCCTCTCAGTATACCCTGGTCCAGCCCAGGGTACCACAAGTAATGCCGTCAGCCCCTCAATCTCAGACTGCAGTGCAGGACTTGTAATGAAATCTTTTAAAGATAAGCAGGTAACTGATGGGATAACAAAGAGGCAGTGTCACATACACTTCAGCTTAATCTCCTGTACCCACACCTTGAATGTATCCACAGTGCAATTCATTCTGCTGGAGCACGAAACATACACCTGCCTGAGGACAGGGACACTGCCTAGATGTCCGGAACAAATCACTACTTGTCTCTTGTCTCTGTATCAGCCCTTCCAACGCTCCATCAGTCACACAGGTGATAATGGCTCCTCTTAGAGGGAGGGCTCAAGTGAAGCATGGGAAGCTGAGCAGCTTCCCCCAAATCATACAGCTGATAAGTGGAGGATACAGGATTCAAACCCAGGCAGGCTGGCATGAGAGCCCAACCTTTAAATTTCAGTAACTCTGTGCCACTTCAAGACTTCTTTGGGAAGAGATAGAACATAAACCTTCGTTAATGCATCATCAAAACATTTATAATCAGGAACCTCATTTTGCTTGTTGGGAGAGAGTTCTGCCTGCTGTTACTTTTATTATGGGCTCTCAAGAAAAATTTCCAGTAATCTGGAAGTCACTGTTAACAACAGAGCCTTCGGAAACCCTTTGAGGACCCAGAAGAGATCAGTCTGGCTTTGAATTGTCCTAGTCTGAAATTAGCATTTGCAAGTTTTAAAACTTGCTTTTGAGAGCATCTCCTTGTGACTAAATGGGTCTTCAGGTGTCATCTGCAAGCAGAACATATAATCTGAGTTTCTTCATGAGACAATAAATAAGTAAGTGTTAAAATCAATGAACAAAGAACCTGAGGTCCTCCTTGCATATCCTTGAATGAGAAGGAAATAACTATTGGTGCTGGGAGGAGAACAAGCCGCCCTAGAGGGCCCGCAACAATCCTCAGCCATCTCCGCTCTTCGTTCCCATCAATTATTCATTATGATACATGGATGACACTTGCAGAGGCTTCAAGTGTAAGTGACACCATCCCAAGAAACCTCCCCCACATTCATCCTGGCCATCCAGGCCAGAGCCTGCTGAGATGCCTATGGGTCACGAGAACCTGCGGAGCTGGGGCCTTTTGCCCACCTTCATCTGCCCCAAGAGTGCTGGGATGCATTTTGCAGTGTACTTTCTCTCTTGTTTTTCTCATTGTCTCTGACAGCCACAATTTTAAAGTTGGAATCGATGGGTAAAAACCGAGGCAGGGTGGGGGTGCATGGCAAAGACCCCTGGGAGCTGCTGAGGTCATTGACCCCAAGGTATCAACTCCAACAAGGGCAGAGACAGGAAGTGGGTACAGGCAGCAGCTGATATCAGACGTACTGTATGCTGAGAGCTTCCTAGAATAAGGGGATAGGAAGAGGTCTCCCCTGGGATCCTAGAACCCTACTGTCTTCTCCGCTGCCAAGAACAACATCACTTCCCAGGCAAGACACCAAGGTTAATAATAGATGATACAACTGTTCCAAATTCTACAGAACTGCCCATCCTGAGCCACAGCCCTAGAAGGAAGTTCTTTACACACTCAAGATCACGCTCAGCCCCAGCTGTGGTGGCAAGTAGTATATTCAAGTTAGCAATAAAGAAGAAACTTAAGCAGCTACCTCTATCTTCTCTGCAGGTGAAGGACCTTAACACCAAGAAAGTCAGCTCTGGCAATAATGGACTTAAAATTAAATAGAAATAAAATCTTTAATTATTCATCCACCCTCTCACTGGTTCTCTCCAGCTTCTAAATAATACAAATGATGAGCATGCTTCAACAAGCTGAAAGAACTGAAGGAGCCACTGTGTGTAAAAACAAGCCGAATACAGCTTCTCCTGTTACCGTCAGTGCGGTCTTTCTGAGTGTTAATTTATATCTCACCATAGTCTTGATTTAAGAAAAGCTCGCTATATTCTGCTTCAAGAACACAGGACTGATTTAGGGCATCGGTTGCCAAGTTAGGATGCCGATGAATTCTTACTAAAGCTCACTTGAGGAAATTTCAGACTCTGCCAAGCAGAAAAAGGAAACTGTATTTAAAGTCATTCAAAATTGTAGCAAAGATGTCTATACTTCTAAATAAACCCACGCGAGGAGTAGCTATATCTGCCCACCAGCAGCTCACTTATGCCCCCATCTCCTTGAAGAATTTAGTTATTTTAAACCTTCAGAGAAAAACTATGCGATGCCCTTCCTGGACACACTGAACGTGTCAGCTTGACAGGCTACAGTAAGGGCAAAGGTCGCCGAAAGACAGAAAGTAAAAGCTGGTAACGTACCCCTACGTGGTGGCTTACCAGGCAAGATGCTCCTTTACCCCCAAGTCCGCTCGCTCATCTCTCCTACTTGCAGGAGGAGGGAGGTTTTTATAACTGGAGCTTTGCAGCTCCGCCTTCTTTTAAGAAGAGGAATGAAAAATCTTAACCCACTGAAAGAAAGTTCTAAAGCGATGGCATACAGGAGCCATTTAACAACGGACTATAAGAGAAGGATGCCTAACCATAGACCCTACACATGAGATGCTAATGAGGTAATGACATTAAATTCCCACTCTTGAGTTGTCGGTAGTAGCCCACTGTTAAACCGTATTAAAAGTTACCTACAATTAGTGACACGTCTTCAAAACCACAGATGAAATGGGAAATGCTCGTTATGGAAAGCAATGAAGAGATTAATAGATTAAAGCTCTTGATTAAGATGAGAAAAAAGTCTTAAATCAAAGCATCTTAAGCAACTTTGCTTTGTTTTCAGTTGGCCTTAACTTTCCCCATGTGAGCACATATTCATCCCTGGATTAGTGGACCAGGGCTGAAGGGACTGCTGCGGTGATGAAGCCGGCCTACTCCATCAATTCACAGATACTTGCCTTTGTAAAACTCTACCAGGAGAGAAGAAGCGGTAGCCACTAGCAGACAGCGCTACCCCACCAACATAAAACTTGTGTAAGGCTAATGGTCCTTGGCTTTTATTTCTATTATATATTTGTATATGAAGTATGTGCTACACACACGTAAAAGTGGGGGATGTTGTTTATTTTTTGAAGATGTACAATGGTTATTTATTGAATAAGTGAATGAAGCCTGGAAGATTCATGAAGACTGAAACAGGAGTGTAACTGCAGGGAAGGCAGAACAGGAGGAAGGCTTGCTTGAAAGAGGGAGAACTGAGTGATTACAGATGGCCGCCAAGAGGGGTTGAAAGCAGTGGAGATGCGGCAGGAGGTAAGGAAACTGCGGAGCACTCGAGGTGCTCCCAGGAGAGGGGGGCTGTCGCTGGAAGCTCACTGGCAAGGAGCAGCAGGTGTGGAGGCCCCCTGCCATTTGTCCCTAGCACCTAGAAGGCTTCTCCACCTCCAGACCTTGTCCTGATGTCTTTATTTAGAAGCCTACATAAGGGAGTAACATTTTCTCTGATGCTGCATCACAAAAGAGAGTCTTTTCATAACCCCAGCAGGTGCCCGCCACTCAAAGGCAAGTACTAATGCCCAAAACAAGCCACCACCACCAGAAAGCAAATGAGCACGTAACAACCAGTGCTGAAATGACACGAATTCCCGGGGAAATGGAGGAACCTGACAGGACGTTCTCGGCCAGAGCAGAGAAGAGCTCATCTTGGCTGTGTGTCCGAGCAGCACATTTTGCTTGAGGGTGGCTTCCTAGAAGGCGGGGTGGGCCCAAGCCCGGGGGCAGTGTGCTGCCATCCCTCTCCCTCAGGTCCACAGCTGAACCGCCTTTGTGAAGTCCAGCGCCCCTGCTAGGACATTTATGCCTAAATAAATTTCCTGGCACCAAAACTCAGGGTGAAAGGGGGAGGTCAGCCATAGTTTTGCTTAAAACAACATTGACGCTTACGGCCTTAGCAGAAAAGTTAGATTTAAGTTTCAGTGGGAGTTGGAAGTTCCAGATGTGTCTTCCATTAATCATCCAGGATACACAAGCATCTGACCTAGGGTAAGCGCCTTGCCCTGGGAAATGTTATGGTTTGACCACACTAGTACCGTGAGGGTTGTTAACCGCAGGCAGTGAACACAACCATGTGTGTGCACACAGGGTAGCCTGTGTCACGCATGGCCTGCAGCCGTTACGGTTGCCTCCAGGTTTTGATGCTAAGCACACCCTTCTGGAAGTCGCTTAACAGTGCTTCTGCCGCAATGTGCATCGTGAACCGACAAAGGAAAGCACACGGCTGCTAAGTGTTGTCCAGTCCAGAGCTTTGGTCACAGCAACTTCTTGGCAGATGCTGAAGGAGTTCCGTGCTGAGTCAGCCCCTGGCCAGGTTTCTAGATTCTCAAATTTTCTAAAAACTATGCAGAAGGGGAGGTTGCTGAACCACATCCAGAAGAAGAAATGCTGCTCGGGAGGGGGCACTTTGTGGTTCTCCCACCAACTTGCTTTGATTCTAACCCTGATGCCTTCGTGCACCATCTCCTCTTCACACCGCCGCTGCTGTGTAACTTCCTAGCTTTCCTTCTCTCCCACGCCTGCTCTTCCAGACAGAGCCAGGGGTCCCTTCAGGGCCGTGCTCCTGGGCCCACAATACCAGCAGCACCTACCAGACATCTTCAGAAATATAAAGGCAGTAAAAGCAGAACCTAAAATGGGCTTGCAAAACCAAGCAAATGAACTAGGAAGGATGACAAGGAACTGTAGAGAGGAGAAAGTATAACCGTGAAGTATAAACCAAACATGTACAATGCTGTGATTCAAAACGTGTGTCGCCGAGTGGTTGGCATAGGTTACAAAATAAGGTGTAGAGTTTCATTTTGGGCTTAAAATATATCAAGAAAGAAAAGCATAAAAGGAGACTGGTGGAGGCCTGTCATCTACAGGCAGCAAGTGCTAGGGAGAGTCCTGAGTGGGTACCGGGTAGTGTCATAGCACTGAGAACCCCAGGCTGGTGGGGACACTGAGAACAAGATGGAGATGGGTTCAGTTGGATGGGTGATGGCTGAAGATCCTCAACGAGAGTGAGAGAAGCATATGTTGAGTGCCACAGGACAGATGAGTTAGGAGACAGATGTCCCAGGAGAGGGGAGTAGATGTGCCCCGTGGGGATCTCAGACCTGCCAAGCTTGAGGACAGGACTGTACTCCATCCCCATGTGCCCTGCCTGTGCTGTGCTTCTTGCATGCTTGCCTTGGCCCCGCTGCCTTCCCCAGAATGCTGAATGTAGTTCCTGCTATGGGCTGAGTCCTGTCCCCTACGCTCAGATGTCAGAGCAGACCTTCAGCGCCTCAGAGTGTGACTGTATTTGGACCCAAGGAGTTTGAAGAGGTGATTACAGTCAATGAGGCCATTGGGTCGAGTCCCAATCCCACACAAGAAGGGTCTTAAGAAGAAGAGCTCTGGTCACAGACAGGTACAGAGGGAAACCTTAGGGAGACATAGGGACGTGACCCCTGTGAGCCAAAGGGAAGGGCCTCAACAGGACCAACCCCGCTGACACCATGGCCTCGGGCCTCCAGCTTCCAGTGTGAAAAAATAAATGGAATTCCTAGGGCAGGAGTAGAAGGAGCGAGCACCCTAGGAGAACCCCAGGGCGTCGGAGGTTTCCCACAGGGCCTCTATACCAGCAACTCGCCTCCACTGCGCTGTCTGGTGCCTGATTGGGGAGCGAAACATAGGCTTCCGCTGTACATGGGTGGATCGGATCAAAAACTACGTGAACATTTAAATTCAAGACACTATTATAGGGGGCTGGGGAGATGGCTCAGTGGAATAAGCACTTCCCTGGCAAGCACAAGGGCCTGAGTTCAGTCCGCGGTTATACAAAAAAAAAAAAAAAAGACACTATAATAGTAAAAGACACATTGCTGTGAATTCCCCTAAAATATCCCCACCCCATCAAATACACTTAAGCATGGTTTTTTGACACTTGCTAAAGCAGTTCTGGAAGTCTGCTTTTGTGACTGTCTTTACAAGCTATGATCAAAAATATGGTAAATGATGCTGCTGAGTACCATCTAATCAAAAGGCAGGCTCTGCAAAACATTATCCTGTGTTCTCATCTTCCTAGTTCCCCTGATCTAGCACACTGGAACTTGTGGATCTTCTTCAAAGTAAAAAGTGACGATGATATTAAATGTTTTCAATCAATTCAGGACTACAAGACAGTCACAACACCATGACCTAAGACACTCATGAGCGAAAACTTCCAAAACAGCTTCAGAAAGTGTCAAGAACCATAGGAGAAATATGTTCAGAGTGAGGGGGAATATTCTGGAGGGGATGCATAACAGTTTTTCTTTCACTGTAATAATTTTGTAAAATATAAATACTCTATTTTTCTGTCAGCCCTCATAGCTCTTAGCTCTGAAGCCAAATGCCCCTCTTACCCTCTTGATCCCACAGTGCATTAGTAGAAGTGGACTGTTCTCATTCATTTTCTGAAACAAGCATTCTTTGTTCTGTCCAAGTTCTCCTTCTAGTTCCAAACTTATCCACCACCAGTAAGGCACGACCTACCCTGAGAAGTTGCATTTAAATGTCCTTACTGAGCCCTGAAAGTCACCTGTTAAAGGATCTTCTCAGTTAAGGAAGTGTCCTTCTGAACTGGGAGGGAGAGAGATGACGACAGAGCTGGAGAGGCCAAGAGTAGGCTTCGGTGTGTAGCCTGCAGACCTGCAGTTTTCACCGACCCTCAACAAAATGCCTAAAGTCAGGCAGCAAAGCAGATCAAGTTCTTTTTCTAGTGCCAGGTGGTTACACCATCTTCTGATGCCAGAAGGCAGCTGCCCCGGATGAAATCAGTGAGCCCAGAGGCTTTGTCATCCACCCCCCCCGAGAAGAGTCATAGGCAGATGCGTCCTCCCAGGGGTCCTGGAGAACCACTGGCTGCCAGGCATGAAGAGAGGTCGCCACTCCAGAGCTCGGACCAGAGAGTATGTAAAGGTGAGTGAGCCACAGTCCTTGCCCACTCTGCCTGACCCTCCTCTTCCCTGGGCATGCAAGTAGAGCCGCTCGGCATGCCTCCTGCTGGAACAAGACTCACCTTTCTTTCCCAGTTTTAGTGTCATGAGGACACTTGCTAGAATAAAACAAACTAGAGATGGACCGTGGGGATGTCCACGCTGGAACGTGCGTGCAGGTACCTCCACTGCACTGCACACTTACAACGGTCAAGATGCCAACTCTTATGTTATGCCTATTTTGCTAACAATGAAAACTAATTTTTAAAATATTATGGAATGAAACCAGCTCTGGCTTTGAACAGGGACCTGAGATCTTGGGACCTCTGGGAACTTCAACAAACTCCTCGCCCCAGACTCACTTCAGTAAGACAGAATCTTGTCACCAGAGTCTCAAGCCCA